GGTGGGCTTTGTCAGTTCCCTTGTTAAACTCTGGAATGAGCTTCAGTCTTGCTACAGATATCTGTATTTTCCAGCAGCAGCAGCAGCCTTCAGCAGTGCCAAGAAAATATTAGAGCAAAACTACTAATTAATGTAATAACTCGGAATTCGAAATCACCTTCTGTTTAAAAAGAAACCCCACCTTACCTTCCTCCCCCCTCCCCCTCCTCCTCCCCCCCCAGCTTCCTGGGAAAAAGAGGCTTGGAATCGAGCCCTTAATTAAAGGACTAATAATAGTAGGAGCCCTCGGTGTCTGTCGGGGCAATTCAGAAGGAGCTATTTAAAGCATGGGAATGGGGAAACCACCCAAAGTCTGCTGCAAATGTTCTCCACAATCAGATAAAATATTTAGGGATTCAAAAGGGAACGCAAACAATCTTTTAGCTCTCGCTAAATTTTGCAAGGGAAAATAAGGACTGTTAGTAAAATAAGGGCTTTTAAAAATACTATTTTTTAATTTTTGAATTCTCCTTGACTGCCTTTTTGTAATTAGTTGACTGAATTGGTATTGAGTAACCTTTTTAGTGGATGAACATTTTAGAATGCAGGAGAGAAACAAAGCTCAAAAACCAATATTTGTTAGTGGGGTGTAAAAAAATGTGGACAAGATCGAAACAACATAATTTGAGAGATACCTGAATCGATTTTTTTCTGAGAAAAGTCTGGTTACCGTTCCTATACATTCCAAGCTATTTTTTTTTTTTAGTTATTTCAATTCTTGCAACCTGTTTGACCTTAATTAGTTACATTAAGCATCAGTTGCTATCTGTGGTTTTTCTTCCCGAGTTAGCACGTTAATTCAATGTTTGCTTTAGTATTTAATTCTCTTTCTAACACAGTACGAGCGTGGCAGGAGCAGTAACCTGCATGCTGCGTGCCTCAAAGGGGGAGTATTTCTTAGCAGTTATTTTGTGAGCCCTTTACGTAGAGAGGGTTCAAGAAGCAGTTAAGTGTCACAGGGGGAGACCCACCTGGGCTGGGCAGAGACCTCGGCTCACGAGCAGACAGCGGCAAATTCCTGTAATGAGGAGAAAAGCCCATTTATCTGTTAGCACATGAGATTGTCTGTGCCCTCACTGAGATTGATCCTGGGAGGGAAACTGTGAGGTGCCTTTAGAAGCACCTCTTTGACTTGGGGGAGCAAGCTGATCCTTCAGCAGGGTGAGATCCAGATGTGGTTTCATCTCCATGTTGTGTTCATAGTGGGCTGGAGTGGGAGAAATCCCTGCTGGTTCTCAGAGAGTGATGTGGCCGGGGGTTCTCTTATCCTAGGTTTCAGATGCAGGTTTTGAAATAAGTGTTGATACCGTCAAATGCTCAGTTCCTAAACCTGATGAGTGTGGGTGGTGCAGAGGAGGCTGGGCTGGAGCTCCCACTCTGACCAGGGGGGTGTAAGGGGGGCTGGGGGGAAGAGTCACTGCTGGTCTGTGCCGTTTGGTAGCAGCACGGCAGCCTTTGTTATATTCTTATATTTCAAAGAAACGTTCTTCGAAATACAGTCCTTGATTTGTCTAAGGCTGCAAAGTGCTGGTGCTGGGAGAAATGAGGGCTTGAGTATTGGTTTGACCACTTACCTGATGTAGGAAAGCAAGGAGGATGGATAGCAGGAACAACAGTGGTTTTCTCACTTGGGCATGCATGCCGTGTTTCGGGGCTGAGAGTATGTAAAATACTGGGAAGACTAAGAGTTTGTGTTAATCCTCATATTTGCAGGGTACTACTGAAATCGAAATCAGAAAGAAGCCTGGTGGGTCTCTCCTGGTCTCCATGGATCAGGTGAACGCATCCTATGGAAGAAAGGATCGAACCAACAGCGTGATGACGGGGTTGACAAATACCCTTGTTGAGGGTAGGTATGGCTTGGAGGTGTGTGTTTCCAGTAGGTACGGACCCGTTGCCCTCCCGTGGTGTGTGCTGCAGGAAGGCAGACCCATTCTTCTGGCCATTATGGGTAGTTCCTCACACCATGTCTGCCCTGGGTTCCCTGTGCCGGAGCCGGGCTGGCTGTCCCTCTGCATGGCACAAAACATGGACGTGGACACACACGTCTGCTCCGTCTGTCCAAGAGGCACCCAGCAGTGATGTTAAACCCCATGAGATGGCTTCATGGTGGCTGTGGGGACCAGAGCCATCATCATAGGGAGCTGGGAAAGGAGCCCAGGCTTGGGTCAGACCCCATCTGTTGGGCACGGTGGCACCACAGACATCACGTCTGAGCCTTGGGTACCAGAGAGAGGACATGCCTGTCCTTCAGACACAGAATTCAGCTGACTTTCGAGACTCACACATTGGTTTTGCCTTAACCTACTTCTTTTGAGTCTTCGTTAGTATGGAAATATTCATTAGACTTTATTTTACTGGATTTTCCATCTAAATTTTACAGATACAGAGGTAAAGACAACAAAGAGTTGTAGTTTTACAATACTGAATGTGCCGCGTGGAGATTATAGAGGTAGTGTCTGACATGGGTGGTAGGTCTTCGGCCCTCTCCCAGGGACTGGAGGGACCCTCCTTTGGTCACAGTCCTGGGGAGGAGGTTTGAGCTGCGCCAAGAGCCGGGGTGTGACAGCTGCCAGAAGAGAAAGGGACTTCTGGATGACGGAAATTCTGAAAGGGACAGCACGCGGAGATGAGATTTCCAAATATGTTATGCAGGAGCCGGCAAGAATTTATGAACAGCAGCCATATGAGGCTGATGATCTCAAATTCCTGCTGTCTTCTGCAATAAAATTGTATGAAAACTAAATATACTTAGAAACAGAGCAGGGTTCTGCTGCTGCTTCCCTCCTGCGCAAACGCCTACAGGCTACAGTGCTACGGTCCTCCTTTTTAACTTTAGAAATTCCACGGCAACTAAATACTAAGCAACCAGGGAACCAATGAGAAAGAGAGAGCAGTGGTCCTTTCCCTGCCCATAAAAAAATAAAACTTCAGCACGAACAGCTGTGGATCCTGAATGGAACCATTGCAAGACAAAGAATAGAGGGGGGAACTCCCGATTTTTATTTTTTTTCCCCTAAGCACTTGAAAGAAGCCAGTGTAAAAAAAAAAAATAACGGACACAACATCATGTTAGATTTCTGTAAATGCATGTGGTTAGTCTTAATCAGGTTATTCCTGTTTAAAATCCTTTGCAGCATTATGTCATATATTTCCTCTTTTAGACCGTGTGTGCATTCAGCGCAGAATTCATTTAAGTTATTTAAAAACTGGCTCCGAAGACAGTTTGGAATCCGTAACTTTGATTCAAACCATTTTACCTTGATCAGTTCCGAGTTAAATATATCCCTTCATTTCAAATAATTTGGACTGAATCCTAAGACCCAGGCGGGGCTGCCGGGCGGGGTTAGAGCTGCCCCTCCTGCAGACGTAGGGCCAGAGAAGAAGCCCAGGGCAAAGACTCGCCCAGAGTCTCCTGCTGGGCCATGGCCCCAAGGCTGGTGGCTTGGTCCCTCCTCGTCTGAAGCCATTGCCAAGTGTCCTGCACGTCCCTGGTTCCGAGTGCCATGTGTATGTAGGGCAAAACATGTCTTTGGCCCGAAAGTATTGAATTGTTGTGCAAGCAGGGAGACACGGGAGGGTTGGACGGTGTTTTAGATGGATCCCGTGACCTTAGAAGTGGGGGCTGAACTCCTGTTGCTGTTTTGTTTCGGAACTGCAGAGCTGGAAGAGTCCCAGAGGAAGTGTCCCCCTTGCTGGTATAAATTTGCCAATACATTCTTGATCTGGGAATGCCACCCGTACTGGATGAAGCTGAAGGAGATAGTGAACTTAATTGTCATGGATCCTTTTGTTGACTTGGCCATCACCATCTGTATTGTGCTGAACACCTTGTTCATGGCGATGGAGCACCATCCTATGACCCCAGAATTTGAACACGTGCTCTCCGTAGGAAATCTGGTAAGATAGTGTTGGTGAATATTCCTTACAGATCTGCTCCTTCTGGGATACGTTACTTGTTGATATGGACTTTTAGACTGAAAGAACTGCTGTTCCAGGCTCTAGAGCCTGGAGATCTAGCCTGAAGATCCAAAAATGAACGAAAGCAAATCTTTGCCTGTTCTTTCTTTGTCTTTTTCCTCTAGAGCCTGGAACAGCAGTTCTTTCAGTCTAAGTCCACATCAACAAGTAACACTGAGTGGCACAAGCTTGCCCTCGCTGCAGTCTGTGGCCACTTGGATGTTGGCTGAGGGTGCCTTCTGGTCAGAATTTATTACTAATTAGAAATCCATCTGTTAATTCTGGGGCTGCCTGAGTAGGTCGATGATACTTGTGCTGCACGAGGGGAGAAAAGAGCATTGTGGGCAAACACGTGGCACTGCCCAGGCTGCACGTTGGAACGGGCACGAGAGGCTGCATCGTTTGATAATTAGCCTGAAGATCAGAAAATGAACAAAAGTGAATCTTTGCCTGTTCTTTCTTTGTCTGTCTTTTCCCTCACCACTCCAGGTTTTCACTGGAATTTTCACAGCAGAAATGTTCCTGAAGCTCATCGCCATGGATCCCTACTATTATTTCCAAGAAGGCTGGAACATCTTTGATGGATTTATTGTCTCCCTCAGTTTAATGGAGCTGGGTCTGGCAGATGTGGAAGGACTTTCTGTGCTGCGATCTTTCCGATTGGTATTCCATATTCCACTTCTTTTTGGACGTTACTTTCTTAGAGCTAATGGAAAGATTTTTACATAAGAAAAGGCAAACACCACTTTTTTCTGGTTTTCGGGAGGACAGAGATGGAGTAGTGTCATTTTTGAGGTCTCTTTTTACTTCACAACTGCTGTTTACAAGCTTTGAGCTACAGCTCGTTGCATTTAGGGGGTAAGGGGTGACTTGGGAGGTGAATGTGGATGGAGAGGGACCGTGCTAGGATGCACCTCTTATTTCATGCCATCAAATTTGGTAGGTCGTATGTTAGAGTCTAATAAAAGTGCTGAACATTCACCTGCTTTGACTTGTGCTGTCACTGGTTAAGCTTTTGCAAATTACATGAGGAAAACCTCAAGGTTAGATTTTTGAACGCAGAGAACCACAACTGGGGTTGGATTTTCCAAGGAGCAGAGTACTCAGAAGCTGCCACTTACATCCAGGTTCAGAAAGTCTGTCTCCAGAGGAGATTCCCTGGAAATTAAACTTCGATAGTGTGTTTTGGATATGCCAGGAGAACAAGCCCTTTTTTTCCAGGGAAAGTTGTGAAGTGTTCAGGAAAGAAAAAAGTTATTTTTTGTGATACACCCTTCAAATAAGTCTCCTGACTTCCTTAGTGTTGCGAGGTTTGCAAAGCAAGACGGAGGCTTCATGCTTTTCCTTTGTAAAAGGAGATAGATCCCCACACGGGGGATAACTAAGTATGAAACACAGGAGGCCACATTCAAAGAGAAGCTCAGCATTCCCTCCTCCCACTGCCCTCAGCAGGAGCACGGCCTCATGTTTATGTTAAATACAGGGTGGTCGCCGTTTAGAAAGTTCTGCCTAATTTTCCTCTTTGTTTAAGATGAAACTAAATTTTTATTTGTCTGTTTTATTCTTTCGGTTTTTGTTTTTTGCAGCTGAGAGTCTTCAAACTGGCCAAGTCCTGGCCCACTCTGAACATGCTGATAAAAATCATCGGTAACTCAGTGGGTGCTTTGGGGAACTTGACCTTGGTGCTAGCCATCATCGTGTTCATCTTTGCTGTGGTGGGCATGCAGCTCTTCGGCAAAAGCTACAAGGAGTGTGTCTGCAAGATCAATCCGGAGTGTGAGCTACCCCGCTGGCACATGCACGATTTCTTCCACTCCTTCCTTATTGTCTTCCGTGTGTTGTGTGGGGAATGGATTGAGACCATGTGGGATTGTATGGAAGTAGCAGGACAGGCCATGTGCTTGATTGTCTTCATGATGGTCATGGTCATCGGAAATTTAGTGGTCAGTAAATGGTTACTGATGGTCTTTATTGGTTGCCTCTGGGTGGGGTAGAACGTGGGGAGACCGCAGGACTAGGGAGTAATGTTTTGTGAGTCTGTTCCAGCTCTGGTGGGGTCCTTCATGGCCTTTGACAGATGAACAGTCCTGTTGACTTTGGTAGCACCAAAGGGTGTGCTTTGCTTGATGAGGGCCTTAAACAGTTGCCCACGAGTAAAGCATCTAGGCACTTTGCAATAAAAGCTGGAGGTACAAAACCCTCAGTCAAAAGGGCCAGACCCACACCTTGCCTGAGGGGGTAAAGGAAGCTTAAAAGAAGGAAAACCTGGCTTTTCAAATGCCAGGAAAGGAGATAATTTGGTATGCAGGGGAAGGTCCTGAGGTGTTAAAATCAGGTTGGAAGTTTCTTCTAAAATCTGCCCACTAGCTCGATCATGAGGTACGGTGGTGTGCAAGAATCGGCTGGTGAAACTGCACGGCCTGTTGTGTGGGAGGTTAGACTAGATCATGATGTTTCCTTCTGGTCTTAAATTTTATGAAGAAAAGTCTATGGAGGAAAATGTAAGCAAGAATGAAGTAGTGTGAACAGTTGCATGTCTTCAAAGTAGCGTTGTGAGCTCTCTCTGAGAGGACTTGTCTCACCAAGGGATTTTGACAAAATAAGTCTTGGGGGCTCTCACTAGATGTGGGCAAGGAAATCCAGCTGGGAGCTTTCACTCAAAATGCCTGGATTTGGCCCATTTCCTTTGAGCCAGAGGTGGGACTAAACCAGTAATGCTGAATTTAAATCCCTTCTATGGCTGCTGCCTAAATCCCTCCCCGGCAGCCGCGGTCTGGCTCCTGCGTGGGGCTCTGTGGTGGGGACCTGCCCAAGTCACATCACCACACAGGGCTGCCCCCTTCATGGGACACGCTGCAGGATCAGTGGGTGCCTCGGTAGGTCTGTGGGACACCAGAGCTGGTTCTCGGTGTGGTGTTTGGAGAGCGAGCTCCCTGTTAACATCAGCAGGACGTGGGTGATTAAATACTCATCTTCAGCTTTGGGAAGGTCACCCTTGTGTGTCAGCTCTGCCAAGCGTCCCCTCTTCTCCTTCAGGTGCTGAACCTGTTCTTAGCCTTGCTACTGAGCTCCTTCAGTGCAGACAACTTGGCAGCAACAGATGATGATGGGGAGATGAACAACCTGCAGATTTCTGTCATTCGCATCAAGAAGGGCATTGCCTGGACCAAGGCAAAAGTGCGTGAGTTCATGCAGGCTCATTTCAAGCAGAGAGAGGCAGATGAGGTTAAACCCTTGGATGAATTGTATGACAAGAAGGTGAACTGCATCGCCAACCATACAGGGGCTGATATCAACAGAGACATTGATTATCAGAAGAATGGCAATGGCACCACAAGCGGAATTGGGAGCAGCGTGGAGAAGTACATCATAGATGAAGATCACATGTCCTTCATCAATAACCCCAATCTCACTGTCCGGGTGCCTATTGCTGTAGGTGAATCGGATTTTGAAAATCTCAACACAGAAGATTTCAGCAGTGATACAGATCCCGACGGCAGCAAAGAGGTAGGATGAAATGTTAAAAATTCACTCTAGTCATTTGACCCTTGTGGAAGTGCCTGGAAGCATCTTGGGAGGGAGAAGTAGATAGTCCCAGCACAAAATTTCTGTTCATGTTATGACGTAGTCTTTGCACTCAAGCCAGAAGTTTCTTGTGCTAGTTACTCTGCGGAGAACCACAAATACTTATAAATATATATAAGTACTTAATACTGTCTGTCCTGTTAACATGCCACGTAACCTGGGTCAGGATCTTAGTGAGGTGAAGTGAGGAAACAACTTTTGTTACAGTAAATCTGGTGAACAAATTGCTGAGTTGTCATGAAGGTGGATATTTTGGGGGAACTACTTACAGATTGGATTGGGGTTTATTTTGTGTTCAAGAAACTTGATGAGACCAGCTCCTCTGAAGGTAGCACCATTGATATAAAGCCTGAAGTGGAAGAAGTCCCTGTGGAGGCACCAGAGGAGTATCTGGACCCTGACGCGTGCTTCACAGAAGGTAGGCTGACTCTGAGTGTAGGAAGAACCATAGAATCCCATGTTGGAAGGGACCTCAAGGATCATTTGGTCCAACCTTTCTTGGCAAAAGCATGGTCTAGACAAGATGGCCCAGCACCCCGCTCAGCCGAACCTTAACAGTGTCCAACGTTGGGGAGTCCACCACTTCTCTGGGGAGACTATTCCAGTGGCTGATTGTTCTCACTGTGAAAAATTTTCCGCTTGTGTCCAATCGGAATCTCCCCAGGAGTAACTTGTACCCATCACCCCTCATCTTTTCCATGTGATTCCTTGTAAAAAGGGAGTCTCCATCTTCTTTGTAGCCATACCTTTCTTGGCAAAAACATGGTCTAGACAAGATGGCCCAGCACCCCGCTCAACCGAACCTTAACAGTGTCCAACGTTGGGGAGTCCACCACTTCCCTGGGGAGACTATTCCAGTGGCTGATTGTTCTCACTGTGAAAAATTTTCTGCTTGTGTCCAATCGGAATCTCCCCAGGAGTAACTTGTACCCATCACCCCTCATCTTTTCCATGTGATTCCTTGTAAAAAGGGAGTCTCCATCTTCTTTGTAGCCACGCTTTAAGCACTGGAACATGGTGATAAGGTCTCCCCTAAGGCTTCCTTCCTCAAGGCTGAACAAACCCAGTTCTCTCAGCCTTTCCTCATACAGCAGCTTCCCAGTCCTTGGATCATCTTGGTGGCCCTTCTCTGGACTCTCTCCAGCCTGGCCACAGCTTTTTTGTATAGCAGGGACCAAAACTGAACACCGTATTCCAGGTGTTCCAGCTGCATAGAGTGGGATAATGACTTCTTTATCTCTGCTGGTGATGCCCTTGGTGGTGCAGCCCAGCATCCCGTGGGGTTTCTCTGCCACAGCAGCACACTGGTCACCCATACTGAGCTTATTGCCCACCAGGGTCCCCGTTGCCCCTTTCCACAGAGCTACTCCCCAGCCAGGTAGATCCCAGCCAGATGGGAAGGCTCTGAGCTGTTTCGGGGACCTGTCTACTCTAAACTTACCTTAAGGTTTGGTCTCAGTCTGGGTCAGGGCTGGCTGTCAGCTTATTTTGAGACTCTCTTTGGACCCTGCATCGCAGACGAAGGAGTTCAGAAGAATTTTCAAAGTCAAGGCCTTGGAGATGCAGTTGCCATTGCAGGGATGTAGATGACCTGTGAGTAGGGCAGGTTGATCTTTCGTACAACAGATGCCTTGAGTAAGTAGAAGCAGAAGAATCTGGCTTCTGGTCGGGTTTCTTTTTTTCCCTTCTGTCACTGGCCTCAATGTCTTTCAGCAGCTGATCCATTATGGGTATTCCCATGGCAAAGATATTTTAAATGGTTCAAGGTTATTTTATCAGCAAGTTTTCCATTCCTCTTCTGTCAAGTGCATGGATCCCTGACCAAATAGAACAATCTGTTCACAAATTGATGTTAATTCAGGTGCTCAGATACAGAAGTGGTGAAAGTAATCCTCAAGAGCACAAGAGGCTGAAACTCAGTGTGTTTGCTGTTGTTGGCGTCAAAACTGCCTCTAGACAATGACAATTTTGTGTTCTTTCATTAAGTCACCTGTTCCCAAGGTGTGGGCTCATGCTCCTGTGTGTGCTGTCCCCGTTGCAGGCTGCACGCAGCGCTGTAAATGCTGCCAGGTCAATATTGAGGAAGGGCTGGGGAAGTCTTGGTGGACCTTGAGGAAGACTTGTTTTCTGATCGTGGAGCACAATTGGTTTGAGACTTTCATCATCTTTATGATCCTACTGAGCAGCGGTGCTCTGGTGAGTAAAATATGGAAATACATGTATCCCAGAGGTGTTAACGAGGGGACATCTAATTGGCAAAGCCTTGTGTAGGAGATTTGGTGAGATAGCAAGCTGTGATGATTCTTACCTGGAAAGCAACACGGCTCCGTTGTAGTAGGTACTGTACAAAAGCCTTTATTAATGATTTTTGTTCAGTTTCAATGAAGAATGAAGACTGAAATCCCGCAAATCTGGGTTCTGATCACAGCTTGACTAGAAATGTGAGGATTTTAGACAAAGTCAGCCTGTATCTGTGTCTCATTTTTGTCATTACCGAACAAGAAGGTTTATATTTCTTCAGTTTCCCATGTTTGCAGAGCTTTTTGACCTCCTGGTGGCACACAGATACAAACAATCCCTGGGTGTGTTTGTTTTCACACAGTGCAGTGTGTAGTAGATGGCATTACACAACAAACAGCTTCAAGCAGGTGCTCCCCGTGAGTTTTAGGACTCAATTCCACAGCAGTTGGGATCCCAGGGCAGCAGCCTGGCGTTCTGCACATCCCAGCTTTCACAGCAATTAACGGGCTGATTAACAACGCGCTCAGCAATTTGGGATGCACCCGTGTGTGACTGTTGTGGTACCAGTGGCTGAACATTTAGATACAAAGGCTGGTACTCGGAGCCCTAAGGCAGCGAAGTTCTTGTGTTACTTATTCAGGACTTTTCCTTTTTGGGGTATTTTTGTGGTTTGGGGTTGCAGTGTTGCAACTGCCAGAGCAGATGCTGGGCACTGTGTAAGAAATGCAATTCCATTGCTTATCGTGGTTTGAGTGAGCTTCTGGATAACGATATTGGGCTGCGTAATAAATCTGATATAATGACATGAGCCCCTGGTTATTTCCCAGGCCTTCGAGGATATTTACATAGAACAGAGGAAAACCATCCGGACCATCCTGGAGTACGCGGACAAAGTCTTCACTTACATTTTCATCCTGGAGATGTTGCTGAAATGGTGTGCTTATGGATTCGTCAAGTTCTTCACCAACGCCTGGTGCTGGCTGGATTTCCTCATTGTGGCTGTATGTATCCTCTCCTCCTTATTTCTGGTTGGAAAAAAAAAAATGTTAGTTGGAGGAATGCTGGGGTAATGTTTTCTCCTGAGAAGTGTCCTGACTGGATCATACACTTGATTCGGATTCAGTCCCAGATATCTGTACGTTTCCAAACCCAGGATGGAGCCCTTGGGCCCGTTGAGTGTTGCTGGTGTTTCCTGTGCAACCCTGGAATTTCTGCCCTGTGGGTCCTGTTGAGCCTGTGGAGATGAAGGAGGGTTTTCCAGCCCTTGGCTCTTTTGCTTCTAGGAGTCCTGCCTACGTGTGGAGCTGCTGGAAGGTGTTAGCAGTGGGAGAACTTGTGTAGATGTGGTGTTCATTGGTGACACCGTGTTCTGTAATCACTTGCTTGTGTCATCAGTGATGGGGGGATGATGAGGGAGGCATCTCCCCACCCCACCGAGCTCTGTGGTTCTGTGGTTTGCTTGTTGTGCAGAATGAAGTTCACCATCATCCTCCTCCTGTTAAAAATATCTAATGCCTGGGAGAGAAAGAGCAGGATGGGATTGAAGAGCCAAGAGATCGTAGCGTAAACAGGGGGAATGTTCGGTCTGGACAGTTGAGCACGTCATTGCCCTGGAATTCCCCTGCAGAACATCTTGGTAGGGAAAACAAATTCTCAAATTTAAAGAACACAGACAATAAAGAGAAGCCTCAGCAATAAATTTGGCTCTGAAGCACAGTAAGGGCTTTTAAAATAAATGGAATTTATGCAAAAAAAGTGGCAGAAAATTGTGAAATTCAATAGGACGTGAAGTCTAAAGAATTGCAAAAAAAAGGAACTTTTGGAATCCCAAGTGTTTGGATTCTTCTGAAACGTTTCATTACATCCAGTTGTGAATCAGTGTCCTTAGCGAGTGCCCCAGGAGCAAGGTTAAAAAAAAGAACAATTTAAATTTTTTCCAAGTTTCTCATTTGGAACATTTTGAATATGATTCAGTTATGCCAAGTTGCTGTTCAGTGACATTATCACTCTGGAAATATTTCTGAGTAGGTGGAGGAACTATGCTTGGAATTCAGGGGTAGAAGTGACTTAAGATGTCTACGTTTCCTGTGGAAGACTGAATTTTTAAATTTATTTTTTTTTTAAATCCTCTCTGATCCCCTTAACACCTTTCTTTATAACACACATCTTGAAGAAGTAACTCTTCTTTTCTGAAAATAACCCTGCATCTCTCTCAGTGCCTTAAGATGAAGTACAAGTGCTAACATGGGAGCTCATGGGAGATACCATCTACTTTTCTGAACCGCCTTGAGGAGGGTGTTTCAGCAAACGAAATTCTTTGGGGCACTGGATTAAAACTTCCACCAGCAGCTGAGCATAAAAATAGCACTTGCAGTCCTTGTGCTTCGTGTTGTGAGTTGGGCTCCAGCTGTTGGGAAGGAGCGAAGAGCAGGTTAATTGGCAAATGGGTTAAAAGCTTCCTCTGCTTCCCAGGTGTCTGCTGGTGGGGTGAAGGTGAGGGACACGTCTGCAGGGGGTGGGTGAGTGTGTGTGTACAAGGAGCCAGAAATTTTGCAGAAATTTCTCTTTTCACTTGCTGTGGTAGACAGGAGAGTTGCACATTTTTCTCTGCAAAGCATCTGAAAGGTGAATTTAAGATGCCAAGATATTACTCGGCAAAATCTCAGCTATGCATC